GGCCCCCGCCCGCTCCCGCCGGCCCCGCCTGTCCCGGGACGCGGAGCCCCCGCCCGGCCCCCCCCGGTGAGCCCCGCAGCTCCGGCAGCAGCAGGAGGGATGCTCACCGAGAGCGCGGTGCGGTGCGGAGTGCGCACCTTCAGCACCCGGCCCTGGAGAGCAGCCCCGGCCCCGCCGCCCGGCAGTGGCAGCGGAGCGCGCCCCTCCGCCGGCCCCGAGCCCCGCACAGCCCCGCCGGACAGAGCCGGGGTGCGCGGTGCCTGCGCCGCGGGAGGCGGGGACCGGTTAGCTCCGCACAGCCCCGCGGTTCACGGCGGAGCGGGAAGCGGCCGGGCCGGGCCGGGCCGGAGAAGGACGCACTGCGGGGCCGGCCGGTCGGCGCTGCGCTCCAGGGTCGCGCTGCGCTCCCCGCCTGGCACCGGCTTGCACTTACCCGCTAGCCGCAGGGCAGACATCCTCTGGAACTCCGGCTCCTGCAGCCACTTCCACATCCTGCGGAACGTCTCCCGGCCGGACTTGAGTTTACTCCAAGGCTTGGGGTTCCGCAGCAAGTCCGAGAGGGTCCCCTGGGAGCGGCACAGCACTCGCTGGGCGAAGATGGCCTGCGGGATGCTGTAGCGCTTCAGCTCCGCCGTGATCCTTTGTGCCACCTCCTTGGTGTTGATCTCCTCCAGCTGCCCCGCGCCGCTCCCCTGCGGGCCGGCGGCGGGGGGCGGCCGCTCCCGGCCGGCGGGCAGCGCGGGGCCGTGCGGCGGCGGCGGCCCGGGGGGCGCGGGGTGGTGCGCGCCGTTCAAGGGCGGCAGCATGGCCGGGGGCGTCCCCAGCCCCCGGGGCAGGTGCTGCTCCCCCCGCGCCAGCATCGCCGCGTGCGCCTCGAAGTTGGGGCTCAGCATCTTGTCGTGGCCAGGCGGTCCGTAGCCGTGCAGGCCCTGCTGGGAGCCAGGGAGCGGGCCCAGCCCGTTGCCCAGCGGCGAGAGGCTCTGCCCCACGGCCGGCACCTCCTTGTAGGGCCCGTAGAGGCTGTTGACGGCCGGCAGCCCGCGCTCGTCCCGCATGAGCGCGAAGCCGCCGCCGGCGCTGCCCGGCAGGCGCTGGTGGTGGTGGTGGTGGTGGGCGTGCGGGTGGGCATGCGGGTGGTGGAACTTGTCGGAGACGGCGGAGATGGGCGGCAGGGGCTGGAGCGGCGTCAGCGTGGTGTAGGTGCCGCTCATGCCCATGCCGGGCGGCGAGGCCTCGCAGGGCACGCTCATGGCGTGGTGCAGCGGGATGGAGAGCTCGGGCCGGTACTCGGCGGCGCCGTCCAGCAGCGAGGCCATGCTGGGCACCATGGCGGGCCGGGCGGCGGGGGGCAGCTCCTGGTGCGGCGGCGGCGGAGCTGTCCGGTGCCGCCCCGCCTCGGCCGCGCCCGCGGGGCCGGGCTTGCGCCGCGGGCGGGCGGGCGTGAGGGCGTGAGGGCGGCGGGGAAGGGCGGGAAAGGCGGGCGCGCGGGAACATTGGCGGGCTGAGCGGCGGGGGGCGGGGCCTCCGTGAGGGGACGTGAGGGGACGGCGGGGCCGTTAAAGATTCCGCCGCCTTTGTAGCGTGCGAGGCCGCCGGGAGCATCCCGGGATCGGCCCGGAACCGGCCCCGACCGCTGCCGGGGCTCCTCCCGTACCGCCGCCACGGATATCTGCGGCGCGCGGCTCTCCTCCCGGCGGGCGGCTCCGCACCCCCGGTCGCGCAGCCCAGCCCCGCAGCCGGCGGCTCCCGGGGCCCCGCTGCACACAGCCGGGCCTGCTGCCTCCCTGTTCGCTGCTGCAAACCAAGGTACAGCGCTGATCTGTGCTCTTGGTTGTTGGTTATTAGTTGCCTTAAATGCGCTGAATTGGGGCTCGTTACGAAGGTGTGATGGATGTACCTCACCCGGGGTGGATGGTGAGCCCCGTCCCGCTGGCACACGGCTGTGGGGCCCCGCTCCCCGGTGCCCGCACGGACCGCAGTTCTCCCCTCCTCCCAGGGAGGGCCGGTTCCCCGGGCCGCCCTCAGCCCCCGCTGAGGCGGGGCAGCGCACGGCTCCGCAGGGCGCGGGGCTGGCAGCGCGGCTCTGCGCGGATGGAAGCGGACAGGGACGGGGAGCCGGTGCGCTCGGGGCCCGAGGGGACAGCATAGCCTGGCGTGGAGCTGGCAAGTGGGGACAGTCCGTGCAGGGCACCCGTGCCAAGACACACTGGGTCGGGCTGTGCCCGCTGCTCCCAGCTGTGCGGGTCATACTTCTCCCTGCTCCTTTAATCAGTAGCACCAACAGCAGCCTTGAGTGTCCTTGAGTTTTGTGTAATCCTTATCTCGGCCATGATAACTATGTCCATATTTGTGGAAGTCCCACCCCCACTGGGTCTTTTCACTCACTAAAAGAGGGGAAATGGGGAGAAATGTCACCTTTTGGACCCTCGATCATCAGGCCACTCACTCTCCAGAGCTCCTGGTATCTCCTTGCAAACAGGTTGTGTATGACAGCACCCAGTTTCCCTACAGATTGGATCCCAAAGGATAATGATCCATTTCTTTCCGTGTTGCCATCACAGTGTCTCTGGAGCTCACGGTGTTTTCTGAGCTGCTTTTTGGCACTATCAGGCCAAAAATAAAGTGGAGTTCCCCCCACCCCAGCTACTCCTCCCACTGCCAGCTTGTGCTGAAGAAGGAAAAAGAAAGGCAGACAGAAAAGAGAGCTCTGGCGTGAGGTGCCTTTGTTCAGGGCAACTTATGCGTGAAATCTTTTTGTCCTTCCTAAAGGAAGGCAAAAGTTGCGGTTGATTTGGGGAAAAAAGAGGCGAGTGCAGCGCTCCGGAGACGGAGGTGCCTCTGTGGGCAGGCGGGAGGAGGGTGGGTGGGCAGACCCTGATGGGAATCTGGTGCCGCAGATGTGCTTGTGTCTATGTCCCCCCTTTTCCTTTCTTTTCCTCTCTTTTCCTCTTGCCTTACCTTCTCCTTCTCCAACAAATTCATCAGGTCTTTGACTTTTTCTTTCCAAACCTGCACCTGATGGCTGTGTCCCCTGAGGATGTTTTGTTACACACTGTAGTGTCTAAATCTGGTGTCTTTCCAAATTCATGTCAAAATCTTCCTGGGAATCAAGGTGTAAATATCCGTGCGTGGTGCAGCTGTACCCGAAGTCATGTCAAAATCTTCCTGGGAATCAAGGTGTAAATATCCATGCAGCTGTACCCGAAACGGAGGGTGCAGTGTGATGGGGCAGTGCCTGCCCTCAGGGGCAGCAGGGTGCCGGGTGTCCCGTGTCACCCCGGCAGGACGTGGCACAGCCGAGCTGGCAGCGGGGCACGGCGGGCAGCGGCAGTGCCGGGAGCCGGGGGCTGCTGCTGCTTCCAGCCCGGCGAGCTCGGGCTGCCCAGCGGGACAGCGCTCCCTGCCTGCATGGCTGCCTTTGCCAGAGGCTTTCCTCTGCTCTTGGGGGAGGGAGGAGGGGGTTTCTTTGTTAGCTTTCCTTCTCCTGCCTGCCTGCAGCCAGGCCTCCCCCTGCCACAGCCAGGTGTCCTTGCTCCCCCCAAAGAGGCAGCGGTGGGGTGTCCAGGGATGTCGGGGTGGGACAAACCTGGGGATTGACCTGGCCTGGCTGAGCTTTCTTGCCCAGCCTCCTTCTGGTTTGGGCTGCGGCTCCCTTGGGAATATGAAATTTAATTCCTCTCCTCTTTTGTTCTCCGGGGTTGTCTGTAGTGTCCTGCAGCACTCACACCTGGCACCTGACCCAAACCACGCAGGAAAGGGTGACTTCAGGGTGACACCTCAGTGCAGGACACAGGCACAGGGAGTTCTCCTCTAAAGCAGCTGGCCTGGGCCTGCAGGTGTCATTTTCACCTGCTTTTAAACAAACATTGCAAGTGTTTTCTTTGGCATTTTAAAACTGCTGTCACAAGCCTGTTCTCTGCAGAGTGAGCAGCTTCATCCCCTCAGGACACCTTTCCTGGGATGGAGGCAGAGCTGGACATGGCGTGGGGGCCACTGGCACCCTCCAACCCCAGCACCAATGGCCATCCTCACATTTCCCAGTGGGAGAGGAAGGATTTTTCCTATCCCAACCCCATACCCAGACTGGGTTATAGGACTATAAATCCCTGCCAGGATGGTCTCAAGGATAAATATATGAGCTGTAGTAGGTATTAGTGGTGGGAAGCGCACAGCACAGAGGATCTGGCATGGCTCTGCTCCTGTGCCTGGGGGACTCTGTCCTGGCAGTCCGTGTGAACTCCTAAAAACACTGAAGAGCAAGCAGCAGGTCACCTGGAACAAGTAACAGCAGTGGGTTGTAAGATATTCCCGGGCATGTAATTCACCTTAATGAACAAATACCCTGAGCCAATCAGTACCCACAGTCCCACACTTTTTATCTTCACGTATTTCACAGGAGTGCAGAATTTGATCCATCACACCAAGCTTGTTGCACTGCATAATTAAATATAGGGAGCATTAAGCAACACTTTTGGCAACTCCTCTGGTGAAGTTTTCCAGTAAAACCTATCAGTGGCCCTGAGCACTTTGGGAAATAATAATAAGGAAGAAGCAGAGGCAGTGGAGTTTTACAGACTCCCAATGCACAAGAAACCATTTTATTTAAAAACAATGCATTCAATATCAGGTTATGGCACACGAGTCAATGCTGCAGGCACGTCACAGCACGGGATCACGCCGAGAGCTGCCGAGCCGCGATGCTCACGCCGGGGACGCGGCACGGTCACGAGGGGAGCCGGGGCACCGAGTGCTGCGCGGGCAGGCTCCAGCCCCGGGCTGGGGACACACACGGCCGGGTGCCAGCCCCCGGGCACGGTCCCAAGGCTCTCTGTGGTCCTGAGGCTGCAGCAGCTCCGCTGGCAGCGTCCTTCCCACCACTCACCTGAGAGGTGCCCTGGCCCCCATTGAAAAATAAACAGTGCTTTTCGTATGGCCCTTACTAATGAAACCTTTATTACAATTATGGCATTTTTTCTTTTTTTTTTTTTTTTTTTGGAATATTTCTTTTTTTTTTTTATCGAAAACAACTCCATCAGGCATTGAACTGTAGAGCCACTGAAATAAAGACACATTCATTTACAGAAAACCTGCTTTTTCCTATTTGCCCTGTTTTTGCAGCCTCCATTCACAGTTAGCTCTGTTTCACAAACTCTTACAACTGAACCTGGTAGCCAAATGCCTGTTTTCACATGCCTTGCTACCATTCACCGAGGAGATGCAAGCAACGAAAATAGAGACCCAAGATGTATAAAAGAAGAGAGGAAACATGTATTCCCAATCCTATGTACACCCCCAGCACCCCTGCACCCATCCTGTTGGCAAAGGGGCTGGAGAGGGATGTGGCTGCCCCTGGACACTGTCCTGGCAGCCCAGGGCCAAGCAGGGTCTCCCAGTGGAGGGAGCTGCTCGGGAGGACTTCTCTGGATTTTGGAGCCTCAAATGTTTTGTACTTACAGGTATTGATCACGCTGCATTAGCTCTGTTGGCTTGTCTAGACATTCAGTCATGGGAAGGAGAATTCTCCCTGACCATCAGGAAGGTTTGGGGCCAAAGAGAGGGAAGGAAGAGCCCAGCTGAGGTGATGCCGCTTGCAGGAGCCACTGGCTGGCCTGAGCAGGGAGGGCAGCCCCCAGCACCTTGCAAATAACAATTAAATAAATAATAAAGGTACTTGCTTATTAATGCAAAGGCATTTCTGCTGGAGAGAGGCAGCCCCAAAGAGCCTCTCCTCAGCCACTGTCTTCTCCATCCCCTGCCATCCTCACCTCTCCCTCAGACCCCACCTGGCAAAACAAAAGCTTCGTGCTTCGAGATGGTTTTCCACCTTGCATAAGCTTGGGCAAAAGAATATTGATACTAAGAAGCAATTTACTTTGGGCTGTGCTGTGCCATCGATCACGGGGCAGAACTCCCCATTAAAATCAATGATTCTGAAATGTTCAATGTGGGTCTGGAGCATCGATGGGGCGTTTTGCTTCAAAATCAATGATGTAATATGGCGTTCTGTCAATAATTTTTCTGTATTCCCGTTTCCAAATATTTGCAGTCAGTTTTGTGCTTCCTTCTCTGCATTTGGTGCCTCTTTGTGCTTTTTTTCTGGTGGTGATGCCAGGGCTGCGCCCAGGACTGGCAGGGGGTTGTGCCCCTCTCCAGGATTATGGGAGGTTCCAGAAACTGTATGGAGCACACTGTCCCTGCTTTCATGCCAATATAATGATAATAGTTCCCATTTCTTTAATTTGCTGATGAGAAATGATGGGTCCTGCAGGAAACTGGTAAAAAGGCCTCTTGATAAAAATATCTGGTGCTCACACAAGCCAGCAAGAGTCATTTGGGGTGGGGGGTGACCCTTCTGCCCCGGTGGGCTTAGAGTTGCTGGGCACCGCTTTACCATGGAGCCCAGTGCCAATATCAGAAATTAGTCATTCCTGCACATCATTAATGACCGGTGCAGAGCTCTTCTTTCCCTGTGCAATTTCTAATTTGGGGCTAAACAATCTGTGTGCTCCAGCACGTGGAGAAGGGTCCCTGCAGGCTCTGTTGGGACCAGGGCTGCCCAGGCACGGCCAGCCCCACAGTTCCCAGAGCTGTGATCCCAGAGCCCTTGCTGGCACTGAGGGGACTCAGTGCAGCACTGGGACATCACCACTGTGACTCCAGGAGCACAGGCACTCGAGATGGACCCCGATGGGCAAGTGTGAGGAGCACAGGACTGCCCAGAGCCCCAGGAGCAGTGGCTGGGGCAGCTCTGGACATGGGGCAGCTGTGGGGGTGATCCAAGCCCCACCACAGCCCTAAACAGCCTTTGGAAAAGCAAAGCTGGGAAATGTGGGATAATTCAAGGGAAGGAGAAAGCCATCTCTCCAGATGGGAGAACCATCCTGGCTGCAGGGCCAGCGGAGCTGCGGTGCCACAGTGGGCACCAGGCCATGCCTGGCCTGCTCAGCTTGGGTGTTGTGCTGGAGATCTCCTTCCTCATCTCCTGTGTCTGACCACAGGTAAAGAAGCTAAGAAAAACTAACCTGTGCCATTTTAAATACTGGATTTTTTGCATCTTCTTTCATTGTGGGGTCAGTTCTCACTCACAACAGTAAAAAATTGTTAAGTACTTGCCAACATAGTCACAAGAAACCCAGTTACATCCCAGGCTCCTTTATCCTGAGACATAATGGCCAACACTTCCCAACTGTAAGTGACCCTGTTTTTTGTCCTGTTCCCAAACAGTTGGATTTCCTGTGGTGCCAAGGAAGCATCTGCCCTGTCTGCCTTGGAGTGCTGCTGGTGATGGGAAAATGGGGACACTACTCCAGCTGTCTGACTGGTGAGTTAGAGACATAAATGGGGAAATTTGGTCATGGCATTTCTTCTTCCCTGCGCTCCAGCTCTGCTCACTTCCCTGCAAAAACTGGTTTTTAAAAATCCCAGCACATGGCTTCCGTTTTTGCCCATCCTGCCAATCCCTGCCCAAGCAGAGGGATGGGGTTTGGGGCTTTTCTCACCAAATAGGTCTCCAGAGAAGCCTAATTCCATGTATTGTGGTGGTTCAACTGTAAAGTTAAATGACAGAATGGTATCAGATGGATGGGAATGAACATGCCTCCGTCTGTCTAGTCTGGACTAGGATCTGTCCTGAAAGGAATTAAAACACTGAAGTATTCCAAGAGTGATATAAACACCTAGCTAATGTATGAGCCACTTTGTGACCTTCTTCTTGTTATTCTTTAAAAAATGTAAAATTCAGTAAATACGAAAATACCCAAGCGGTGGAGATGAGGATCCACACTGAGGAACTCGCGTGTGGCGATGCGATGCGCTGGAGTTCCGAGTGCCTCCCTCCATCGGCCGCGGCAACGCTGAGCTATTGAGAGCAACAGATACAAAAGAAGCAAAACCTTTTAAAAGTAGCATTTCTAGCTCTAATGGGAAGGAACAATAAAATTATTTAGGGTGTTTAGTAGAACGCTAAAACATGAACAGATATTAAAACATACTGAGTGGCTTGTCTAGAAATGCAAAATGTTTCAACTTTGCAGCTGCACAAATCGCATCCACAGAACATGATAAAAGCCTCTGCACCGCTAAATATGCTGAAACCCTTGGATGAGCAGTAGCTAAAAAGCATCTTTAAATTATGGAAAAGATTCTAGGGCGTGTTTGTTTCCTTTTTAGAATTCTATCTGAAGAACGTTTAATTTGGTTTTGGGCACTTTTTTTAGACAATTGTTTGGCACTTTGAGATTTAGGTTCTTAGGCACAATGCGACAAGGTGAGCTTGGCCAGTCCTTCACCGTGCATCCTGTAGAGCAGCTGGAACTCTGCAGGCAGCTGGTGGGACTCCTGCCACTTGGTGGTGAACTTGGTTCCCTTCTTGTCGTAGTAGTGGTACGGGAGGTCCTCCCGCGTGTTGGGGTCGAAGGCGAAGGGCCAGAACCCGTAGAGGTGGATCTCGTCGCAGATGGCCGAAGCCAGGGTGTACATGAGGATACCCGTGCTCAGCCGCTTCGGGGACAGGTGCTTGTTCCGCCAGTACCTGCCGAGACAAGGGCGTGAGTCAGGCTCAGTCTGCTCAGGAGCAAAAAAAGGCTGGTCTGAAGCAACCACAAAACTTCAGTGGCTCTGACGAGAAGTGGTCCTGACTAGCCAGACTGGGCCTCCCACATCAGGCTGGAGGGGAAGAATCAGTTAGGAGAGGTATTTGTACAAAGAGATGTATTTGCAAGGCAAGCCCACCCACCTGTTAACGTGCTGCATGATGTTTCCTGGCCAAGCCAGCTGGACCTTCAGCTGCCCTCTGTGCTCGACAAAGAAGTCAACCAGTGTTCTCGTGACTGTCGCCGAGGTGTGGAAGAAAAAAGCGGGGATCCAAAGAATGGCCCCATCGAGCTTTTTCAGACTTAAAAAGAAGTTGTTGCGATCCTGAATGGTCAAGAGGTTGTTGTAATACTTCTCCAGGATGCTGGGGTTGAAGGTGGTAAGGTTGGTTTTCCTTCCAACATCTTTCTGGAAAGCCTCAGTTGGAGCAAAATTGCACCGAAAGACGAAATCTGACTTATCAATTTCCTGCCCACACTGGCTCCCGGTCAGGATCCCGCTGTTGCCGACCACGGCGCAGATGTTGTAGTGCTTGTTCAGGATGGGAGACACGTCAGGAAGCAGAGACCTGAAGTTATTGCTGATGGAGAAAACATACTTGTGGCTGGAGTAATCGTAGTGCATCAGCTGCCCGATCCGAACGCTGCTCTTGACCAGAGAAAAGTTTTTGATGACGTCAACGTGCTGAAGGATTTCTTGCCTAAAACAAGAGCAAAATAACAGAAAACATGGAGTCCTAATTCCCCCTTTTTTTTTTTTGCAATGGATTTGTTTTCCACCTAGACTTATATTTTTCCATTTTTTTATTTAAAGTGCACTGAAGTAGTTTCCTGATCAACATGGTGCAGTGGCTTTTAAATCACTATAAATAGGTGGGAATGAGGGAGCTGGCTGCTCACCTAGAGCTCCACTTGGATTTACCGGCTGCTCCCTACTGATGCCAGCTCAGGCTGTGCCTGTGCCTCTTGGAATGGTGTCAGGATTAAAATATGGGGTTGGCTGCTTAGGACAAGGGGTGCAGCTCCCATGACACCCCCCCAGTCACCCAGTACTGCATGGCCCTGTCTGGGCTGTGACACAGGGTGAGGACAGCTTTCTGCTGGGGCTGTGTGTGCCTTTCATTCCTGGTGCAGCCACAAGGCACGTGAAATAAACCCAGGATATCCAACTGAATCCTCAGGAAAAAAAAATATATATATATATATTTATGTTTTCATTAACAAGCTTCCAATCACAAAACCAAGCAACAGTCACTGTCTCCATCTATGCAAATATAGTTCCTTAATTCATATTTGGGCAAGCACAGCAGCACTTTTAGGAGGGTTATTAGGGATACTTACAAAGCAAACAAAACCAACCCTGCTTGGGAATTTCCCTTGCAGGGCATAAAATTAGAAACTGAATAGGACTTTATTTACTTATGTTTATGGCAAACAAACAACCATTCCTCCAGCTCACATCCTCCAATGTCTGAGCATTAATGGAGTCCCACTGGGTGCCCTAATTATGGGTTCTGGCTGACGGACAAGTGCAAAGGCAGCTCCTTGAGGCATCAGAGGGGTAGCACAGGATCAGGCTTATGGGGCTGCTGGTGCCAGGGATGGAGCAACACTGAGAGTGGCCACTGTCACACAGCCTGGGAGGTCCTGGCGAAAAGATGGGACTAAGTGCCACCTCCTCTCTGTAGCCCACGGCTCCTGAGGGCAGCGTGTGGCAGTGCTGGAAGGGAATTACTTGTCCTGCTGTCCTTGGACTGTGGCCTGAAGGGAGGAGAAAAGCCCAAACCCTGCACTGAGAGGTGCAGCAGCCCCATCCTGCCTGGCCACAGAGCCAGATTCCTGCTCCCCAGGTGGGACATGTGAGCAGAGCCACCAGGTAGTCCTTAAAGCATTTGTCAGGACAAAATGACAGTCCAAGACAGCAGTAGCTGTCTTAAATGGTTACATGGTTTTATTTTCCTTTACAGAAATGCTAAATGTATGTAATCAGCAAATAGATGTATGTTTAAAGAGTACAAAGCTCTGTGCCTGCCCCCGCAGCTGGAGCGGAGCTGGAGGCAGGAGCAGCACTGCACTTGCTCAGAACTGCCAGCAGCTGGGAAGTTTCTCTGCGTGCCTTTGGCCTCCATGAACACAGCTTTTCACGGCTGTTACAGGCCAAAGTGTTTCCACTCTTAAACCACAGCTATTTATCCTGGAGTAATGACAATTCCACTTGCACACCAGGAAACTGGGTCACGTTCTAGTGCAATAATGCGTGTTGCAGCCTGGTGTCCTGCTCTGAAATAATCAAGGCTTTCGGGACAGCTGCGACTGTCTGGGGAAAAGCTCTGGTCAGCCTTTGTCTCTTGCCGCTGGCAAATTCCTCGGAGCTCGGAGTGCTTAGCAGGGTGCTGCATTCCCTCAGCTGCCCGCGGGCAGGGACACGGGGCACGGCCCGGCCGTGCCCAGCTGCTTGCTCACCTCTGGTGGGCGAAGGCGCTCCGGTTGAAGACCCACTTGGAGGGCTTGTCCTGCAGCTCTTGGCCCAGGGAGTTGGTGATGGGGACGAACGAGGGGTCCAGGAACTTCAGCGCAAACTGAGACCTGAAGATGGGCACAGACACCAAAACGTGTACACACATGGGGACACACGGAGACACAGAGACATGGAGACACGTGGAGACACAGAGACAGCAACTTACACACATGGAGACTCCATGGGGACACATGGAGACACAGAGACAGCAACTTACACACATGGAGACATCCATGGGGACACATGGAGACGCAGAGACAGCAACTTACACACATGGAGACATCCATGGGGACACATGGAGATGCAGAGACAGCAACTTACACATATGGGAACATCCACATGCACAGACATGGAAACACAGAGACAGCAACTTACACATATGGGGACATCTGTGCACATGCATGGGGACACACGGAGACACATGGAGACACAGAGACAGCCATGCACACACATGGAGGCACAGAGACAGCAACTTACACACATGGAGACACATGGAGACACAGAGACAGCCATGCACACACATGGAGACATCTGTGCACACACATGGAGACACAGAGACAGCCATGTACACACATGGGACTCACATAGAAACACCCACTCACACACATGGAGACACCCACGTGCAGACATGGGGACACACGGAGACACCCACACACACGCACGGAGGCACACAGAGACATCCATGCAGCACACGTGAGGACACCCACGCAAGCACACAGCACACGTGCACACACAAGGCACACGCAGCCCCCCACGGCCAGACCCGCAGCCCGTTACCGGCCGTGCCCGGCCCGCCCCCGCCGCCATCAGCACCACGGAGAGCGCCCGGCGCCGCCGCCGGGGCC